GTGTGTGTGTGTGTGTGTGTGTGTGTGTGTGTGTGTGTGTGTGTGTGGACACCTGCCAGCAAAATTGGTGTGCGCTGACATTTAAAGAAAAAGCTTTAAAAGTAGTCTTTTAATTAAGTTATCTTAAGAGAGAGCGTGATGGAGGGGATGGATGGGTGAATTTAAAGAGCACACGGGATGGAAGATGAGGTCGCCGAGACAGGTGGTCAACTAAGAGTGCCACACACTTAACACTAATAGATGGAACGAAGACATAAGAGGTTTGTTTTTTTTTAAGCAGATGCATTCTGAAGAAAGTGGCTAAGCAAGGGGAGAGAGAAGAGAATGAGGCATGAAAGCCAGAAAAAACGACAGGACGTGAGCAGGTATGTCCACTATAGAGGAAACTAGACTGTGTGCTGTTGTGTAGTAGTGCCTTAAGGTCTCTAGTGTGAGTGTATGCATGTGCATCTGTGTGTGTGGGGTCCTCTGTAAAGCATACAGGGCCATGCACCGTGGATCAGTTAGTAAAAACCCAGTCTAGCTCAAGTCGTCCCCCAGGATGTCACACTGCAGTGCACCGAACCATGCAAAGTGTGTGTGTGGGTGTGTGTGTGTGCTACTCCTGAGTGACATTTCACAAATCCAGGTGACTGGGCTAATGATGTCCCCTGCCTGACTAAATCAAAGCACCAAGAGGTTGTGCGGAGAGGGGGAAATGGGCAGAAAGAAGTGAAGTAGAAGACAGCGGGAGAAAGAAATGAGAGCTGTTCACACTTTATATGAACCACTGCAGGCCTGTAGCAGAGCTTCTTGTGAATGATTGGAACATGAGTTGACCAGTATTCAATTAGCAGGCGCACAAAAAAGGGCTGAGTGGAGAAATAGGCAGTCGACAGTTTCAGGGACACAAACTTGTCAACATCAAGACTAGTCTTTTATATCTTAATAAGGCACGTGTGTGTTGATACTCATGTATGCTAAGAAGGATAGAGTTTCAGCAACGTTTTTGAGAAAAGGTTTTGCATGGTGTCATACTTTGCCAACGCTAATGCAGTCTTACATACATTTAACAGTCAAAACATAATATGTGTGCCCTGACTGATAAGTAAACGGATTCACTCTAAGGGAAGAGGCTGGAAAGAAAGTATCTACTCTGCAGAACTCACAAAGAAGAGATTTGAGCTTACCGAGTTGATGCAGGCGAGCTCCTTGTTGAGCAGCCAGGGTAAGGAGAGCTTCCCGTATCCCTTGTAGCAGGACTGAATTCTTTCTTTGATCTTCTCTTTTATCTTCCTCAGGGTGAACAGACACAATGCCGACTCTTTGGGTGGTTTGGCCCGATTCTTCTGACCCTGAGAGAAGACCGTGAAGAGGATGTCTTCATTCTCAGAGATCCCCAGAGAGTTGGCGAGCTGCCGCCCTGGCCGAGCCAAGAAGGCATCCTGAACCAGGCGGTACTCTACTCCATCTTTAGTGCAGCCAATGGGGAACTCAACGTAGGAGTAAAACTTGGGGTCGTCCACGCAGAGGCGGACAATTTTGGAGGTGAAGAACTGCTCTCCGCTGGCATCGGGGGACGTCAATTGGGTATCCAGCTGCATCGTTAGATAATAGACAAACTGCTCGCTGCTGAAGCTGTAAACGTAATAGATGTCGAAAGCGGGGAACTTGGACAAAGTGTCAGAGGGGATCTTCAGCTGAGAGGAGACAAACTCATCCTGATAGACGAAGCTGAACATGTCGGCATTTTCTTCGTTTTCCATCAGCTTGCGGCTGGACAAGGTGGGGAAGTACTCAGACTTGCCGTCGATGGGCGTTCCTATAAATAGCTTGCTGGTCGGACTCTGGGCGGAGCTTATGATGACCCCGGACATGGTACCCGACTCTGCCACGCTAGAGAGGTAGTGCTCCTTGCGGTGGTGGGGCTCGCCTAGCTTAAAGAGGTCATCCAGGCGAAGGAACTGGCAGATCCCCTGCGAAGTGCTGCCACAGGCAATGAGGCGGTTCTGTGCGTAGTCTATGAGGAGAAGCTTGTTCACATTGGGGGTCTGGGCCAGGTCATGAGGGCAGGACTGGACACTGGGCGGAGGGTAGCACTTCTCATTGTCCACCACTGGGCCAGTCATGTGGCTGCGCAGTTTGGTCAGGTTGCTAGACACCTTGAAAATCCAGTTGACAGCTCCCACATAGACTTCTCCAGTTTTGTTGTGGATGGCCAGATGTGTAAGCCCCGACTCAGAGGGGACAAATCGTTTGAAGGGAGGGGGTTGACCTCCAGAGAAGGATGAGCTCATGATAAGCAAAAGCCCCAAAAGGAGAAACAAGTTCCCCTGGCCAGGGGTAGCCGCTGACCGAGCTAGGGGACACATCACTGGGCTGTCTAGAGGCAAGGCTTAGGGGGTTGGGGGAGGAGAAAGAGGAGGAGGAGGAGAACAAGTGCTGGTCCCAAGTCAGGTTTTTCTGTCGTTTTCCACTCCTCTGTCCAGGAATAAGGGAAGGCAGTTTGAGGGAGAGAGAGAGAGAAGGATGGAGAGAGGGGCAGCAAAACTCCTATTGATCCGCTGTCCTGTTCTCAGCGTTGCAGGCCGTCATCAGGAACATCATCCACGGAGGCACGATGGGGGAGCCCTGGAAGGCAGAGAGAGAAAACACGGTGAGCATCCAAGCAACATTTCCTATTGATTATGCATCAAGCAGGCAGAGAGGCTGAAAAGGCTCTCAAATTACACTGCCAAAATTAGAAGGAAGAAAAAAATCAAGCTGACATTTGCCTCGGTAATAAATAAATAATATCAAATCAAGTCTGGAAGGCAAATGTGTGTCTGCATTTAATTATGAGGGAAAATAGCAGGGGAGGCCCGATTATTAAAGGCTCTGTACACATAATGGGAGTCTTGCTGGAATGAGTTAACAGATTTTATAACATTCAACTTTTAATATTTCATAACTTTGCCATGGTGGCTTTGGCAGAGGCATGTGTTTAAGAAAATGCCAGGGGCCACTGTAACATTGACAGCAAGACATTTATAGGAAGGTCTGCTCGAAGGCTTTCCTGTCAGGGTTCCAACGGTATCAACACGCTTAACAGAAACGTAACCCCTTATTGTAATCACGCAGTTCTGTAGCCAGGCATCAGGCTCTCATGGCAGCACAGCAGGTTCGCAAGCAACACACTCTACCTTCCCTCAGCAGCTACAATCACAATATATACTACATCACGACAAATTAGACTCATGCAGAGAGAAATATAATAACCCTTGACGGATATGTTTGCCACACATTCAGCACAAACTGTTGTTTTTGAAGGCTCCATATCTCACACGACACTCTTTCACAGCCAGTCCTGCCCCTCCCATCAGACTGCAATCACATTCAGCACACTCAAAAACCTGCCTGTCTCTTGCTATTCAGTTACCTGTGCGATTTAAGCGATTTTATACTGCATCACAAGAGGCGACCTCATCTTTCTTTTGAAACAGACCACTGGCCTTGGCACAGTGAGCGTCCCGCAGTACGCTCGGGCAAATAAAAAATGCATCTGGCTCAACTTTTGCTGCAACACGGCAACCTCCTCCGGCAATGTATCACAGCATACATAGCAGGTAATGCACCATGTAACACAGATGGCCCTATTTTACAGTTTACCCTGTAATTGCCGAGGTGAGGGATTGTCACCAGTGCATGTGGCAACATGCCTACACCAGCATCATATCCAGAATATGCCCACGTCAGTGAGTGAGGCCCTACTTCCTTCCTCACTGCCTTTCATACCGACTCATTCGGATCAATGAAGAGCCAAAACTTTGCAAAGACACATTTACATAGGTCTGCTTTCATTAATACGCAAATATATTTCACACAGCACACACTATACCGCACAGCGAGTATCCCTTGACAACCCGGGATGCGGACAACAAAGGCGGCAGAATTAAAGGGCAGAAATGAGAAAAGGTATCGAGGACGAAGGCTTCACACAAAGGGCAGGGAGGAGGAGGAGAGGAGTCAAAGGGGAGAGTATCTGCTCTTTTGGGCGTCCTCCAACGACGACGCAATGATGATGAGGAGCAGGGTTTGGCGGGTGTGTGCTACTGCTCGACAGGCCAATCATGTTCCTGCAAAAACCGGGACATTAGTTCTCCTGTAAATGCTGATTATGCAAAACGGGACACAACTCTCCCAGGGACCCCGTGGTTCAATTTCACCTTGACTATCAAAGTGTCTGCACGGAGGTAGTTTATGACCACGCTGAATCGGAAAGATGAGAGACACTACGGAGAGATGAGGAAAGGTAGGAAGAGGTGGGTGGGAGATGGGGGGAGATTGAGGAAAATCTAAATATGGAAAGAGAGGGGAGAGGCGAACAGAAATGCTGAGTTTTCCTTTCTTTCTCTCTTTATCTCAGTTTCCGCCTCCTGCTCTCACCGTGGTGAGCCACAGGAGCAAGGCTATCCGTCTATCAATCACCATGCACACAGGTCAGTGTGGTCAGTTTACCAAGATTGGAGGGATTTTTTTTTTACAGCTGCCAGAGAGAGAGAGAGAGAGAGAGAGAGAGAGAGAGAGAGAGAGGGAGAAAAAGGCACTTTTCGATGTATTGAAAGAATTAAACACCTCAGTAAGAGGAGTCATTAAATTGCACATCAATTGAAGTCATTGCCGCTGCTGCAAATAGTGTGTGAGGGAGAAAAGAAAGACACAGAGGGAGCAGGAGGGGAAAGAAATAGTAGTGGCGATGTTCATGGAATAGCAAACCATAGCTCAGCTGAGACAACGCTGGCCAGGTTCAGGGAGAGGTGGTGCCATCCAATTTTCACAAAGGAAAGGCCCGGAGAGGGCGTGTAGGAGAGATGACGAGCGAGGCGAGGAAGAGGAAAAGAGCGAGGAAAAAAGAAAGTAGGAGACAGAAAGACATAGAAAGAGTGAGTAGCAGAAGGGTGAGTGAGGAGCAGCGGGAGCCAAAGAAAAGGCAGCATCTCCGCATCGTTTTAATCAGAGCTCTACCTGCGCTGACATCAAACACCAGGGGAGCCCCGTGGTTTGAGGCACCTCGGCAAGGAAACAGCAGCCAGAACGGCCTGAGGTGCTGTTCCACGCTCACTCTGCGAGATTAAAAGGACTCGACGCAGGCCGCAGCCTCTTCGACATAAGCAGCTGCAATAAAGTGACGAGCCAGCCTATAATAAAAAAAACGAATTTCTTGCTCAACGTTACAGCCGCGGCGCGCGACGAGAGCAGATGCCAATTTAAAACGTGGGTGGCACGTTATACGGGAGGCCGGCTGCCTCATTTTCCTTTGTCATTTTCCGAGTGAGGGGAAAGACACAATGAGGCAGAGTGAGTGAGCGAGGAAATGAGAGAGCCTGATAAAGAACGAGCGATAACGGGGGGGCGTCCCTAAAGTAATTCCTCTTCATTTAGGCCAGCCACGGCTTGATGTAAGAGAGTGTGAATCGCACAACAAATTGCATCCAGGGCTTGTTATCTATCCCAGTAATAAGACGATGACATCACAACACATGCTCTAACACAATAGTGTGTGTGGCGGGGTGGAGTCATACACTTCAAAAGTAACAGGGCAGCAAACCGGATGGGTGAAAGAATCAGAGAAATAATGTCTTCGCAAATGGGCCCCCCCAACTCCCTCTTCCTCCACTCCTTCACCCCGTCATTCAACACATGCCCCAACTGCTGAGAATATGCCCAATCACTCAGCTTCTCACACGCATTCCTCTTTTTTTCATAAATTTCGACCATTTTCTCGCGACAGCCTTATCCCTTTGAACCCTCTTCAATTTCAATTTCCTCCAGAGCTCAAGTGAAATGGTGGGAAGAGCGCTGAAACAAGGTTGCGAGCCATATCTGGCACCATCAAGGAAAAACATGTCAATCATTTTGGGGCTGGAGCGCGTCTGTGGCTTTGGGACCGGGCAGCCACCATATCGGAGGAGCCGTGGCCGTTATCACATCAGGGAAAAGCCTCAGAGAGAGGGGCTGTAAGGGGCCAAGTTGATTGGATTTGATATCGGGACACCCTATCAATTGACAGGCCTGTTCTGAGTCCCTATGGGCATTGGGAATTGGAATGAGGGATTGAAAGGGAGGTAGAAGACATAACAGAGAGGGAAAAGCTTAGAAAGGAGGGGGTCCTCCCACAGCTTTATTTCATTTTGTTTATTTGGCTTAAAGTGTGGCGGGAATCCTGAGAAGAAATGGGGGTAGTGGTGCGCTCTCGTGTGCGTTGTGAGGAAATTCCACAGGTTGTTGAGGTGGTGAGCTGTTGCCAACTCTCGTGAGCTGAGCTGGATCAACTCTCCCTCTCTCACCCGCTTCTCCAAAAGCAACTAAACCTGTCCGCTCAGATAATGGTCGCTGCTCAGCCCCGGAGCTGTGCTGATTTATTGCCAGTGGCATATCAATTACAGCACTCGCCACTGGAGGGGAGAAAGAGGAGGAGAAGGTGGCGAGAGAGGGATGGCGATGATGAGGATGGAAGAGCAGCACTCGGGGGGGAAAAAAAATTCTTTACCCTTGCATCACAACATGTGGGTCACATCTGGGATAAGAGGAAGAGGTGAGAGGGTGGAATTGAAGGAAAATAAATTTAAAAAGGTGGACGTGTGCGAGAATGAGGGAAAGGCTCAGAAAATGTATGCAAATTGTCAAGACACACTATCATACATGCACAAAGTCAATTATTGCATCTCAGCATAATTGAGGAGATGACTGAAAGCAGCATGGTTTAAAAAGACACATACTGGGCCCACTTCAACCCACACACACGCCAACTGCATACATCCTCCCCTCTGTTTGTGTACATAGAGACCTTTTGTGCACAAAGAATTATGCGCATGCAAATCAAAACACACATGTACAAAAACCTAATGGGTCCCTATCTTAAGCTCCACCTCTTCACTCGGCAAGCAACACACTCCAGAGGTTGGAGATTTGCCCGGGGGGGGGGGGGAGAAAAAAAAAAGAGATGGGTGAGGGGCGGGTGAAGGACTGAACAGCACGAGGAGGCGGCAGGAAGCGGATGGTGGTGTGTGGGATGGTTAGAGAGGAGGTAAAATGGGGAGCCAAGCCCTGAAGCCTTAATCCTCTCCCAGGGTCTAATCTCACCGCCACTATCTGCATATGGGAAGAATGGATTACCATCCCCCGACACGCTGAAGGAGGGATGGGTGGCAATCCCTGGACAGACAAACACATTCACAGACAGACACAAACAGTCTGACTGACTTTATTACAGAGAGTAGAGGATGTGGGTGGCTCTCTAAACTATTCTAAAAATACACTCAGCTCGGGCATACACATACACACACACACACATACTGCAGGTAGGCACGGTGCAGGCTAGTAATTTGCAGCCTGGTTAGCACACTAGTCTGACATATGTCCCAATCAGAGGCTGTCCCAGGGGCTGAGGGGCCTGGGAGGGCTGAATGGAGTCCTCTTAACGCACCGAAAACTCATATCTCAACACTGAAACAAAGCAATCACTCCATCTGCTGAGGATTATCAGAGAATGTCAACATTATTGCAATAAACCACTGGCATATTATCAAAGAATATCCAGCCCATTTGTCACTGTCCACGGAAATTTGTTCATAAAAGGTCCTCATTTTTCA